ATCAAGTAAAATAAGTTACTCTGAATGGGCAGTTCTGCATTTTGAGTACTTTTACTTGTAAATGCAGGACTATGACCTGTAAGAGTATTTTCACACTTCACTTAGTACTTTTACTTGAGTAAAAGATGTAAATACTTCTTCCAACCCTGCTAATAGTCATGAATATTCAACGTTGCAGAGGAATCGGAGGCTTTAACACCAACGACACACAGCGGTGCTGCGGTCAGACTTTGAAGCTGTTTGTTAAATGTGGGAACCGACCGACAGAGAGACGTAATACAAGCTGCTGCTCACCAAACATTATCCAAGCTGACATTGTTTTCATGTTTCAGAGCTCTGTAGTTTAACTAATCTGATCAGCTGCTGAGCGGCCGGGTCGTGGGAACAGAGCTGACTGATCCTCTTAGGCAGGATTCATCCTGCAGAGAACCTGATCTCAGATCAGCTGAAATAACCAGATTCTGAAACATTTTCCTACAGCAGCCGCCTGCCTGAAAATAACTTGTGTGTTTGATCTTCTTGTAGATCCTCATGGTGTTGCAGTCGACTCAGAGCGGCCGGCAGCGCAGCGGAGTCGATGTGAGTCTGATTTTCCTCTCACCGGCGAACTGAAGGGTCAGAGGTCACAGTCTCCAGACCTGATAAGCCACAGAGAGAGAGTTCATTCTCAGTTCATCAGTGTGGAACAAGAGCAGAAATTCCAGTTTTTTACTGCTACAACTTCTGCTTCAGCCACAGGAGTGTTTTCAATGATTAGATATATAGCTCTTTAAAAAAGTAAAGGATCTGGTTGTAATACCTGAGCGTTGTTAAAGGATCCAGCAGAAATCCAGCATCAGATGCAGCAGAACAACATGTGAACAGAAAAAAAACTACAAATGTTTAGTTTCTGAGCATTTCTCCCCATGAAAACAGACTTTAGGGTAGATTCAGATCTCTGATCCACAGTCGCTTTTTGCAGATCTTACTGTTTTCAAATGGAAATAGATTTTTACACCTGTTGAGTCTGAAGGTTTGAAGTTTAAAGCCTCAGTGACAAACCTGTACCGATACTGTATCTCTGCGTCCTCCTCCTCCTCTCAGTCTCCCAGCCGATCCCCTCAGGCCTCAGACTGCAGCAGCCGTCGCTCCTCCGTCTCCAGCACCTCCTCTCTGGGCTCCGAGGCCAAACCAGAGGAAGAACGGGTCCGACACAGAGAGGTAACCTGACACTACAGCGAACGCTTCCAAATCAATACGGAAATGCATCAATTCTGGGGGAAGTAAGAATAGTCGTAATAAATGAAGTGTAGTAGCAGTTGGAGTATAAACCGTAGTACCGACCTCCACGAGAGGCCCCCTCCGTGTGTTTGACTGGCGCCATGTGTGATCGACAGGTGGAGAAGCTGCTGCGTGCCGTGGCAGACGGGGACGTGGAGATGGTGAGAGCAGAAGCAGTGCGCGTCACATTTTCTCCGTCTGTTCTGTAGAAGTGCTGTTTTCATCTGTGTGTGTGTGTTCAGGTGCGTTACCTGTTGGAGTGGATAGAAGACGAAGAGGAGGATGAAGGAGAGCTTCGGTCCGAGGCTCAGCTCTGCCACCCGCTGTGTCAGTGTCCGAACTGCGCTCCCACTCAGAAGGTCTGACAGAAACTACATCTGAGTTGACGCGTTGACGGTGAAACGACACGCAGGCCGTTAATCTGATGCTGTGTCTCCTGCGTGTCTCGCAGCTGTCTGTCCTGCAGGCCGGAGCGCTCGGCGTTAACAGCTGTAACGCTGAGGGTTTCACGCCGCTCCACGTCGCCGCCCTGCACGGCCACTCCGCGCTGGCCGCCCTGCTCATCCGCCACGGAGCCAACGTCAACGCCCGCACCAACATGAGCGCCACTCCGCTTCACCTGGCCAGCCAGAACAGCCACATCCAGGTAGGAGGGAAGCTACAAATACTCTTCCTGAGAGCGGGGCGCTTTGTCAGTTAATAATAATCATTTTTTACTTAACCAGGTCTGTCACCGAGCCGAGGCCGACTCATACAGAGCAACACTCTTTTAAATGTAGGTCTAATTTCAGTTTGTGGTAACGCATCTGTCCTCTCTGACTCACAATAAACAGACAGCAGCTTACTCTGTAATGAGCAGCACATTGAGATTCTCTGGACAGGTGCGGTGCGACATAACTTTAATTTACATGGTAAAGGTGAAACATTCAGTTTGTGGCTAGTGTACATGCTGCAGGCACACTGATTGTTCCATTTGAGGGCCCTTCATAAGCTTAACAGCTTTAATTCAGACACTCTCACATAGAAATGCAGGAAGGTAAAGTAGAACATAGGAGTAATTGTGGAAACGGTTACTTTTGTCACGACGTTATTCAGCCGTCTGTTGATTTTGATTGACAGGCTGTTGTAGGAGAGGATATGGAGAAATGTTCTATTGCAATATTAAGATGTATTGTGACATACGTTTTCTAATTGATGCAAAAGTAATATAATGAGAAAATATTGTCATGAAGAAAAAAGTGCACACAGTGATGTTATACAGCCACAGATAATAAAGAGAAGGCTACCTCAGCGTTCAGCAGTCTCACAGTATTTATCATCATGTTGTGTCACTTTGGAGTGTATCCAGTAGATCCCAGGGTCAATTACTTGTTACTTTCTGTACATTATAATGGGATTATCATTGCTCAACTAATAAGGTTTTAATATGAAATCTTACTGAAACCTGGAATGGATGCAGAATCATCCTCGGGGCTTTCTAAGGCAGAGGTTTGCTGGTGCTGTGTTACACTGCGTTGAGCCGTGTTACTGATACTGATGTGTTCTGTTGAAGGAGGTCATCCTGATATCTCTCACCTAGAAAATGTCTCTTTCATGCTTTAGGACAGGTTGCCTGGCACCACCTTGTGGCAGAAATACAGCAGTACAGAAAGGAAGATGAATCTGTGGATATTCTGTGTTTGTGTGTGTGTGTGTGTGTGCGTGTGTGTGTGTGCGTGTGTGTGTGTGCGTGTGTGTGTGTGTGTGCGTGCGTGGTGTTTAGGTGAGGTTGCTGCTTGAGTGTAACGCCAAGCTGAACAAGAAGGATCACTATGGCAACACACCTCTAATACAAGCCTGTCTCTGTAGAAACCTGGAGACGGTCACCATCCTGTTACAGGTACTCACTCTGCACCCCTTCCTGGTAACCCGTCGGTCTCGTGTCTGATGAATCAAGTTAAATGCTGTCACATTAAAGACCAGAGCCGCACATGGTAACACGTGAAGAGAGATGTCTTCTGCTTTTGTGTCTTTTCAGTTGTCGTCCATTGTCGACAGTGAAGAAGAAGTTTTCAGTTCCTTTACTTAAGTAAAAGTATTAATACCACACTAAAGTACTCCACTCAATGAAAACCTGGTTAAACAAAGTAAAAGTGTGTCAGTATCATAAGTATTTACATTTACTTAAAGTAAAATGTTCCTGTCAGTGTTTCTTTGTTATATCAGATTAATATTCCTGCTGCATTAATGTGGATGTTGTATTTTACTGAAGTTTACGGTTGAGCTCCTTTTATCTCCTTTCAATCCTGTCGGGTAGTTTAATCTACAGCAATGCATCATGGTCTATAAGATCATCATATGTTTGTAGCTTTGTGGTCCTGTAAGAAGCACGTATCTCTAAAAAGTCAGACAAACAGCCTGTGTTCAGTTTTCTGATGATGCATTTTACGGCTGATCCGAAGGGGCGTTCAAGAGTTTATTGGAGTAGAAGCAGCACGAGAAGTTCAGGTATCTTCAGTTTGTACAAACACTGGATTGTTTTGAGTGCGTACACCGATCGGACAGCTAGCAGACCTGAGGAGAAACATGTGTTAGTTTGAATCTTTAGGACAGTGCTCGACTAAATGTGTCTACTTATATTCCCCCACGATGCCAACGGCATGATGCTGTGCGAGCATCGTGGCGCTTGCTGTAAATGTCCGTCTGCTGGATAAAGCTGTAAGGAACATTAATGTCAAAGACGTCTGAGTGACAAGAAGCCGTCACTTCAGAAGTCGCAGCTTCTGGAAGACACTGAGTTCTGTTTGATGACCGGATGATCTCTGTCTGTGCAGAGTAATGCGCTGGTGAATGTGGTGAACCTTCAGGGGAACACGGCCCTCCACGAGGCGGCGCGCGGCGGACACCAGGCGCTGGTGGAGCTGCTGCTGAGGGGCGGAGCCTCGGCCGGCATCAGGAACAAGAGGCAGAGGACGCCGCTGGACTGCGCCTACGAACTGGGCGGCAAGGTGGTGCAGCAGCAACACTACAGCAACACTGAGGCACAATTTAATAAACCGTATGTTTAGTGTGTCGGGGTGGAGGAGCAGAACACGGAGACTCACAACAACCAGTACACTCTTCTGAAACAGCACGTACAAGTGATTTAAGAGGAACTGTCATGTACAGATTGGACATGAAATCATTCTGCCTTAATCTAAATCAATTTGAAGTGTAAATATGATGTGATGAACTAAAATAAAATATATAACTAAGACAAACTTAATGGAAAATGAATATTCTGTTCACCATACTGGTAAACTGGTGAACTTTTTTTACATTTCAGTAGTTGTGGGTTTTTTGTCGACAGCTTCCTCAGGGTCTTTATGAAGGTCTTCTGTTGCACCTGACAGTGAACCATCACCTAATCTAAGCTGTAATATCTGCGCTGCGGTGCAATATAAAACAAAGCATTGCTGAAGGTCAGAATGAGCAGTAACACTTTTCTTCTGCAGAACACGGAGATCCTGAGAGCTCTGCAGAAAGCGTCTGGACTTTCTCCCGATGCTGAACCAATCAAACTCCTCTCTGTGCCCAAAGGAGCTCTGGGTAACGAATATCAGATTACTGCATTAATGCTGTCCACTCTGCCTCCAAGAGAAGGTGTAATTTATTTCCAGCTTTGGAACAAAACGATGAATCCAAGCTGAGTTTTCTGACAGACGGCATGTGTTATTATCAGATCAGATTTTTAGCAAAACTTTTCAGATTATATCTCAAATCATCATTGAGGATTTTCTTCCCCTTGTGGCCGCTGCAGCTCATTCGTTCGTCCAGCGCTTGAGGCTGCAGGATCACGCAAACGGCAGGAGGCAGAAGTTGTCCCAGACCAGGTCAGCAGGTGGCCTCTCAACAAGCTTCAGCTCTCAGATAAGCAAAATAAAACGAGTACTTAACTTGTTTGAATGTGCTTTGATTCAGGATTCAGCAGATGAAGAAAGGTTCCTCTGGTCCTCCACACAGGAGTTCAGCCCTGAACCAGGTACACTTAGGATCCCTGTCTGTTTTCAGCCATCGTGGCTCTGGAAATGTAGATTTTTATATCTCATCAACACTGATTTTTTGACAGAAATCCTAGAACACAGGAACATTTAAAGCTAACATGTTGCTGTCTTATTAGCTTTAAACTCAAAGTACCGCTGAGACTGATGAAAGTAGAACCATGTTGGACTCTGTAGTGCTGAGATGTCCCAACATGGCCACCGTACAGAGGATAAACCCGTTAGGCAACAACATCTGCTTATTTCAATAAAGTTGTGAAACTAAGACCTTCCTCTGGTGCCGCCCTCGGTAGAAAAGTATTGTAGACGCTCCTGTTTTTAAATATTGTTCCTTTACGACCTGAACTCGGCCCCGGTCTTCTGGTCTGATCTTGATTTTTCTTCCCAGGGGAATCCAGACAAGAGGAGGTTGAGGCGAGGGGAGACGGTGGAAGTCAGCAGCCCCTCAGCAAGCCTGGAGGCCGGGCCCCGGCTGAGAGAGCGGCCCCTGGGTCGCTGTCACACCCTGGACTCAGGAGAACAAACACCGGAGCAGCCGGAGCAGCCGGAGCAGCCGGAGCCGACGCAAACTCCCCAAACAACTCCGACGCCCGGGGTCGGTGCACAGCCTGACACCGACGATACGCACTCCGCTGACGACTCTAACTGCAGCGGCGGCGGCGAGGCTTCCCCACCCTCGCCGTACAATGTGCCTCCTACACACACCTCAACCAATGACCGTGAGTCACGTGACCCCACCGAGCCGTCCGAGACCAGCCGTCAGAGTCCCTGCCCTCTAAATGGAGAGCTGGAGTCGTCCGGCGACCGGACTCATACCGATAAGGAGGCTTTGCAGTCAGAAGGCGAAGACGGAGACTCCAGTCCCACCTGCCCCGCTGACCTCCACCCCACAATCCAGGCTGACGGAGGCGATCAGAGAGACGCCACCCAAACACCAGAGACGAGTCGAATCACAGAGGCGGCGACTGAAATGGAGGCGCTGTGAGGATTTGTGATGATGGAGGAGTCGCACAAAAACTGAAAGTCTGCCAAAAGGTAAAACGAAAGCACACAGCTGGAGATCAGATGTGACGGCGGCTCCAGCTGCACCTGAAAACATTTCTTTCAACGCTTTTAATCCTGCAGAAACAAAGCAGACGTGCAAAATCGAACACGGTTAAAGAGTCGGTTCACCCAACTTACAAGACAATATATTTTCTCACTCATCCCTGCTGCAGATAAGTTTGGTTTCAGGATCAAACCGTGTCCCCCGTTACTCTGGACCGTCCACAGAACACACAGCCATTTTCATACGGACTGTTTCTTTGGTAGGAAGTAGTTGAAGTGAAAAATCCAAAATGACTGTGGACGTTGCCGTTTAATCATTTAAATGTCACGTTAAACGCTGTGAGAAACACAAACAAAATGCCCATTCACCTCCGTTGTGTTGGTGTGGAGGCACAAGGGGGGAAAAGCAAAGACCTTCATCAGTCTGAAGACAAATAAACCCAACACTATCTGCACAGCAGGAAAGTGAGAAGATGTGATCTTAATTTGGGCGTACTGTCCCTTTAAAGTCACACTTGTTTAAATGCAGTTTTCTGTGTCGTGTTATGTCACCTAATAGTAACCACAAATGTCTAAATTCCCTCCTGGTCACAGCTGATGTTTGAACATAGCCGACAGCTTCCAGCAGATTTTTCTGTGTCAGTAAATTGACTCAGGTGACAGAAAACAGCAGAATCCATTTCAGTTTTATTTTGTTAAACTAAATGTGGATCAGTTGAAACTAGGTCTGAACGTCCCGCCTGTCTCATCAAATCCAGCTACCTTTCCTTCATAGTGATTTACTCTTGTATTTGTTAGTTTAAAGGGAAAAGAGCATCGATGCTTTAGAAGACGCTTTATTGCACCAAAATTCCCCAAACTACTAAAAACAGATGAAAAAGATTTTGTACATTTCAGATCAGATATTGGGGAAGAACCTTTTGATTGATCATTTCCTGCATTATGTCTCAGCTCTGCGTCCTTAAAACAGCAGCATTTCACTGTGAGCGGTGAGCGGATGTTGTGACGGTAACCTGAACGGACTTCCTGCAGTCTGAAGAGGTCTGCGGCCTCAGTGGCTCCTCCTCCTCCTCCTCTCGCCTGAGTTTAAAGCACTTTTTTCTTCTTCAAGCCTTCAAAAGAAAGAAAAAGGGATGCAAATGGACGTTATTTTGGTTGTTGCTTTAGTTTTGTTTCGAGTGTCTCGACTGTAGCTGTGATCCCGAGCAGCAGACTTCATTTTTTGTTTTTCTTTTACTTGAATACTAGATGTTTGTTGGCTCTTCCTTCAGCACCGTATTACTCCACTTATATTTTTATTGGGATAGTTTTATGTTATTTATGACCTTAGTTGATGGTCGTGTGTTCAGAGAGGTTCGGCTTCTCCTGAACGTTAGAATGTGTTTTTTCTCCACATAGAGCAAGTTAAAGGATCGCAGAGCTGGTTTTTATAGCCGTTAATAGCAAATCATATATTTTACCACCCTGCTATTTTCAAAATCATTTCCCTCCTTTCAACCATTGATTTTAGTTTATTTCTGAGAGAATCAGCTTGCGGAGACTTAAAACCTGCTGCAGGTAGATGAGCCCTCACAGCCAGAGTTACATTATCACTGCAAGAGTATATTTAACACAGGAGTGTCCTGACCAAGAAAGCTGCACATGGAACAAATCGGTTAAAAAATACCTGATAAAAATCAAAAGAATACTAAAAGGTCACCATAATAAAAGAAATTAAATAGCCGTAAACAATACCAACCCTTTATGATGCATTCAAGGACACTGACAACAAAAAATGACTAACGTAATATGAAAAATGATGAACGTGAACGAAATGAACGTGTTTGTTTCATCGCATTTCAACGTGTTACTTTTCTGCAGTCTGCTCGGTCCAAGCATCCTTGAACGCACCACGAAGGGAAAGTCTTAAAAACAGCCGCTGTAAAGATTTTGACAAGTGACAAGAAAAGACTGGAGGATAATTTGTATTAGCGATTTAGTTTTTAAAGAAAAATTATTGTCCAAAATAAAAAAGGTTCCCAGCAAATTGTAGTTAACAATAGAGATTAAAATTATTAGCTGATCAATCATTTAGTCGACCACCGGAAAAGAAGCGGCTGCTTTTCTCTGTTTTATAAAAATTTAAAATGAATATCTGTACGTTTCAGACTGTTGAACATAAAGTTTTTATTTTGGGATCTGGGAAATTGTGATGGACATTTTTACTATTTTCTGCCATTTAATAAACAATTAATTGATTAAAAGAGAAAATAATTGGCAGAAGAATTGATATTTAGTATTTGATTTTTAGTTAAAAACAAATAAATTAGATGAACTTAGTTTTACATGAAGCAGCTGGTCAGATATAATGCAGAACAGTAAAATGCATTAAGTTGGTCAATATGATGATCTCACATTCACTTTTAAGATGGAGTATTGATTATATAATTCATTATTGATGGTTTCAAGTTGTTTTTTCTGAAATGAACTGAACGCATCGGCAGCCGGCAGGTAGATCGAGCTGATTATGTAAAACATACAGAAGTTAATGAGCAAAATAAAACATGCAAAACCTCCAGTTTGGTCCTTTAACGTCAGAAGATGTTTCATCTTATTTAAAACAGCTACGTTAGGATATACGAGCTGCAGTACTGTAAAGTGTCCCCATCAGTGTTACTGTTCACACTAACGTCGCGTGTCCACTTCACGTAGTGTGTTTGATTGCAGACCGTTTCGGTGAGGATGAAGCTTCGGTTCAAACTGACCTCGACCTCTTTGGGCCTCTGTTCTTTGAGTGTTGGTCGGCGTTTGTTTCCACTCTCCTCCGATGTGACAGGACTGACTGAGTCTTTGTGTTTCAGTGTCAAATGAATCTGAAAGGATGTCAAACGCAGTCAGAAGTCAAGTCCTATTATTTTGTACCACTGTTGTTATTTTCAGGTTTGGATGTTTAATGATGATGTGAATGTGCCTTATTTAATTCACGCCCAAATAACCGATAATAAACCGTTGAGACTAATTTATATTTTTGTCAGTGGTGTTTTTTTTCACTGAAGAAGTTTAAGTAACGTTAAACACGTTGGCAGTGTTGAAGTTTAATCAGACCACATTTCTGTGACAGCTTATTTTTATTTTAATCATGGTGCAGCAGATCACACACACACACACACACACACACACACACACACACACACACACACACACACACACACATTTTGTCTCCCTGTTTTAAAACCTCAGCGACAGATTGTACTGGATTTTCAAAAACCCACTTTACACTCAGAAGCTCAAAGCTGTGTTGCTGCTGCACAGTTTGGAAAAACACATTTTCACAGACTGTTCAGATTTAAAAATTACTCTTTCGGGGAGTTGGGGAAATCAGTGACCAGATCTTTATTGCTCGGTCGAGGAAACGATTTTACCACAAGGTCTATTTTGATCGTATCACACGTTCCTCTGCAGATGGAGTTGGTCCCGTTATCATCAGAGAGATTCCAGGACCAAGGTGCCACTGAGCAAGGCCGAACCTCTAACTGCTCCCCGCTGCACAATGGCTGCCCTCTGCTCCCAGTTAGGAAGGGTTCAATGTAGAGAACTAATTCTGAGTGCATTGCACTCACCAGGAGGAAACATTTAAACTCATGTTGGGGTCCAGTATCAGGCAGTTTGGGTTTTCAGTGAAATGACTTGGAAGAATCTAACTTGCAGCCGTAATGAGAGCCGGTTGAATCTTCTGATTGCTAAGGAAAGGTGCTTCTGTGGGTACATCCCAAAGATCTTATTTGACATTTCCTGGCTCCTCACTTGAACCGGAAGTCGTTGAGGTCTGCCATCTTGCAGGCGGTTCCAAAGCTCTGATTTCTGCTCTGAGGATTGAGGAGCGAGCTCGGAGGAGCCGTGAGCGAGGATACATGAGAGCAGCTTTCACAGAAGTCTGCTAATGATAAATCATGACATCACTGCAGTTTCATACCGGAGTAAAGTCTAAACTAGAGTTTAATATTTGATTTGATTTTAGATTCACCGTCTAGTTAGAAATCGATGTTCATTGTAGGTCTGTCCAACAAAAAGACCACAAACAACTTTCTTCAGTTGTTGGAAAGATTTTTCTTTTCAAGATCAAGATATATTTTCCCCATTAACTTTTATTAGACAGTTAAAGTCAGAGAGACAGAATCATTTATTGTCATTTTGTAGAGTAACATGTGAGGCTGATATTTCCTGAGCGTTGGCTTTAAAATGAGCTACAACATTTCAATTTCCACTGAAACATTTGGCCTAACAAATCATTTCCAATATTCCAAAGACACCGCGGTCACATTCTGGGTTCCTGGGCCTTTGAGCAGGACACACAATAGTCAATAACAGCAGGTCTAATCTAACACCATTACTGGCTAGCCTTAAAGCACGATCATCCATCCATCCATCGTCAACCGCCTATCCTGTGTACAGGGTCACGGGGGGGCTGGAGCCAATCCCAGCTGACATCGGGCGAAAGGCGGGGTCCACCCTGGACAGGCCGCCAGTCCATCGCAGGGCCACACAGAGACGAACAACCAGTCACGCTCACACCTAAAGACAATTTAGAGTCACAAACTAACCTAGGCCGCATGTGTTGGACCACGCAGCCACGGGGAGAACATGCAAACACACGTCATTTATAATAATAAAAATAAAGAATGAATAATACAGAAATGTCAACCTGAGAAAACACAGCGATAGAGAAGACTTCTGACTTGACAGTTGTCCAGAAGACACTCATTGACCGAGGAGAAGCCACAGGTTATAGAGTGAGATTGAGTTTGAAACTCCCTCCCGTGCTCTCCATGTGTTTTTATTTTTTATCCTGCAGCCCTCTGGGATTTGTTTAAATATAAAGTGAATTACAAATAAAATGCATTATTATTATTCTGCTAGGCAGCAGACATTATACATCTGAAAGTTATAACAATGGTAAATAAACAGTGGAGCAGTGCTGAGGATGAATTAGAGATATTCTAATATTGTGTGACACATGGATTTTTGATTTCCATGATCATGTAGATTAAAACAAACAAAAGAGGCCTGAAATATTTCACTTTTATATATTAAAATATAACAGTTTTAAATTGCAGGGAGAAATTAACTTTATCTGCGATAGTCTAATTTTCTGAGATGCAGTAAAGTAGTGAAGACTGATCAGTCCCAGTGGATTCTTCTTCACACCTTTCCTTGAAGTGAAAGGAGTCCAGGTGTCAAAGGTGTTTAGGAATTCGGCCGCAGCCCTGAGAATAACCGGTGCGCGCGCCCCGCCGCGTCCCTCAGCTCTACTTCCGGGGTCGTTCCCTGCTCAGTGGGTCAGACTGCCAATGTCTCAGATTCATTAAGAAGATAAAACATCCGAGCGGAAAGTAGTTGGAGGTGTGTTTGCAAAAGGTGAGTCATGGAGGTTAGAAGCAACAACAACAACAACAACAACAACAACAACAACCACCCGGAGCTGCATTTCAGGGTTTTAGCGTTAAAATGCTAACACACGAAGATGTTGCTGGTTAAACGTGTTTATTCACGTTTAATGTCATTCCGGGGGAAATAATGGTTAATTGCGGGTCTTGTATGAGTTAATCTGTCAGGGGCGGAATATTTAAGATGAAAGATTCGTAGCTGAAAGATTTGACAGCTAGCTGAGCTAACTGAGCTAACGGCTAACGTTAGCTGTTAGCTGCTGAACATTTGTTGTCATAACGTCCCCGTTTGGTACCAAAACGTATTAACAGCTACTTTATTAAAGTTAGAGTAAGTTAGAGGATTTACCGGGAGCTAAATGTGGCTGATTCATGCGGTTTAAAGGCCCCGGACATCGGGTGGCTGTTGGTGTTGTTATGCTAATGTTCTAAGCTAGGTCAGATATTGTTGATGTCTGCATTTTAAACCACAATGAAAGCGTTAGCATTAAGCTAAGCTAAGCTAAGCTAGCTGTGCAGCTGCTGGAAGAAGAATTCAGTTCATAAAACTAGTAATAAAACTTCACTGTACAAAAACAAACTCTGTTACAACTGCATTAAAGATGTTAAGTGAAGGTATGGAAGTATAATCAGAAACTTAAAGTATTAAAACTACTCAAAGCAGAAAGAAAAAGGTTGTACTATTATATATCACGAGTATTATTATTAGTATTATTATTATTACTCATGCATTCATGTAAAAGCCGGATTGTACTGTTGTATATTATTTATCAGACTTTAATGATTATTTCACGATTAATCTGCTGATTATTTTGTTGTTTTTTCTTGTTCGATTGTAAAAATTCTGAAAATAGTGAGAAATATTGTCACAGTTGGCCCGAACCCAAAGTGATGTCTTCTCAATCCCTGTTTTGTCTGTTTAAATCTAAAAATGATTCAAATCACACTGAGATAATCAAAAGGAAAAGCAGAAAATCTGTGAAGCTCAAATTTTTGTACTTTGCTTAAACGGTTATCAAAATAGTTGCCAATTAAATTTCTGTCAGTCAGCTGATGTACTAGCTGCTCTGTTGTGTAGTTTAATTTATATGCTTTAAAGTTTTTGTGTGCAGAACACTTCCTTTGTAAAGTAACTGAAGCTGAAAATGAAGGGAAGTTAAAAGTAGAATATTTCCCTTTTTGAGATGTAGTGGAGCAGAAGTAGAAAATGGCATGGTAAGAAAATACTCAAGTAAAGTACAGATACCTCAGGTTTGTACTTAAGTACGGTACTTGAGTTAATATACTTACTATACTATACTACTTATAGCTACTGTCCACCACTAGTCAGCAGAGTACTCGTTTAATGTTTTCTTTGGCCAGCTTCAACATCTGCATTCTCCCTGTTTGTGAGTAAAGAAAGTAATTAATGTTTTTACAACCGTGAACTAAAAACGGGGAAAGTTTATCAGGTCCTAGTATCAGACTGGTCGTGGTTTGACTTTAGCTCTCTGAACTTTTCTCTCTGCTGGACAGAGATGTGAGCCAGAGGCGAAACAGCTTGTGGCTTCGTGGAGCAGCTGGAGGAGAAAATGCTGTAAAGTAGAAGAACTTTCAAGTAAGTTTCCATCTTCATCCTCACTGATTTAAGCTGAACCTCGCTAAGATTCATCTTCACTGGGATGTAGGGAAACAATACTTGATTGTCTTCTGATTCTTCACTAACTTGACATGCAGCCTTTTTTTTTAATCATGTTTAATATTCTTTGACAAATACATAAAGGATTTTTGTGCCTGTGTTTGTTTGGTTTGTGCTTATGTTTATGATTTTATTCTTTCTGTGAGAGGAACTACAACAAATGACTACGCTGTAAAACTGTTTTGAGCTGTCATAAATCGTGACTTTTGTTTTCAAACAAACTGAAGATTTTCTTGGACGGACTGAAGTGCAAAGAGCCCTTTGGTGGCTTTCGTACTCTTTCAGAGCGCGTTGCACGCAGACAAGAATGACATTTTGAAGGAAACTGAATAATTCTAATAACATTTTTATGTTACAACACATGTGACGATGTTCACAAGGTTCGTTTTAAAAAGACTTCAGTGATGAAATATATGACTGGAAAAAGATTATTTTATTCCAGCAGAAAGTAACGCATGCCGGCGCACTTGTTGTTTACATATTGTTGGTGTCTTGTCCGTCTCTCTGTCGGCGTTTCCTGTTTCCTCCGGGTACCACACAAACGATTTAAAAAGTGGCGGGGGCATCTTCTGTGCTAATTTCAACCACACTCGTGACACGAGATCTTGTCACCCCTAATTATTATGAATATGGAGCTTCTCACAAAAATCAGCGTCACTGTCTGACTTTAGCACAAAATATTGGTTATTTGCAGCTGAACTTTCCGGTTATAATTATCTTTGAACATATAAATACTAACTT